ACTTTCCATGAATTCACAAAAAAGGCCAAGGCCCCGAGTCCCTGGCGGCTCGAATATCCCCGGCCAAGGCAGCGGACGGACTTGGAATCGAGCCAGGGGTGCTAAGAATCCCCAGGTCACGACAGGCTGCCAACATATAATGAACATAGCGACGTACAACATACGGACAATGAGAACAGATGAAAAATTCTCAGAGCTGGAACTGGAGTTGGAAAACATAAAATGGGATATACTGGGCATCAGCGAGGCGAGAAGTGTACCGTCCTAAAAAATGGTTCCACAGAGAAACTCTGAGGTAGACTCACAAGGTGGAGTGGCTATACTGATCTCACCTAAACTTCGGGAAAATATTACGGAACTCAAATCCATATCCGATCGAGTAATCTTTGCCGGCCTAAAATTAAATCGAAAATACTCATTAAAAGTTATTCAGGTATACGCAGCAACTTCATCATGAGGAAATTGATAGCTTTTATGAAGGAAGACATAACGAGAGCCTTGAGTACATCAAAAACACATTTCTCTTTTATAGTCGGCGACTATAATGCAAAAATAGGCAAATATGAAAAAGACGATGGACCACACATAGGAAGATATGGCCTAGGACAGAGAAATGAAAGAAGCGAGAGACTCCTCAACTTCCTCCAACACAACATCTATGTCATGAACACCTTTTTCAAAAAACCACCACAAAGGAAATGGACTTGGGCCAGTCTTGATGGATCTACAAGGAATGAGATTGACTATATTCTGTGTTATAAAAAATGCATTGTCGAGGATGTGTCGGTCATCAACCAATTCTCTATAGGCAGCGATCATAGATTAGTTAGAGCTAGAGTTAAAATTAACACAAAACTAGAAAGATCCAAACTCATCCACGCTAAAAGTCAACATCTAAACCTCACCCCCCTCCAAATATCTTCAGTTATCAACTAAACCTAGACAGAAGATTATCAAGCACACAAAACACAGAACAACTCTCACTCTATGACCTGGTACAGCACACGACATCCCAGATTATGAACAGTACCAGGAAAACCATAACAAAATTGAAAACCACCAGAAACCCTAAAATATCCTCAGAAACCATAGTCAGAAACGCAGCAACTAATGACCGAGAGACGTAAACTAGAGAAAGGCACACCACAATATAGAGAAATGAATAAAACAGTCAATAAGGCCATCCGTACGAACACCACGATTCATAGCACAAATATGATAAAAGAATGTATAGCATAAAATTCCAACATGAAAGTCCTTAGGAAGAACAGATCTAAAGGCAGAAATAAAATTTACCAACTTACGGATTCTGACGGCAACCTTGTATCAACAACAGAATCAATGCTGAAAATAGTCGAACAATTCTACACAACACTGTACAGAAAACCAGCAATCAATCATCAATTAACCCTCTAGACCTCCAGTCACTAACGTTGGTTCTGAGGAAATTCCCGAAGTAGACATCGACGAAATAAAGAAAGCATTGTCTCAAAAGAAAACCAACAAGACACCTGGAGAAGATATATTGACAACGGAAATGTTTAAATATGGCGGAGAACCTCTACTGGAGAGAATAAAGGAAATCTTTAATGGGTGCATTGCTGGATAAAGAATACCACAGTTATGGCAAAACACAACAATCACCACTCATCCATAAAAAAGGAGATAACACTAAACTTGAAAATTATCGTCCCATCAGTCATCAGATTTCTATCAACCCCCAGAGCAGGCAGGGTTCAGAAGTGGATACAGTACTGTAGACCACCTTCAGGCGATCCGCACACTCATAGAGAAAAGCACCGAATACAACATCCCTATATACATAGCCTTCGTAGATTAGGAGAAGGCTTTCGACTCTATAGAGCTACACGCCATTCTAGAAGCCTTAAACAATGCCAGAATAGACCATGACCATAGATACTCTGGCATAATATCGTTTATCTACAAAACAGCTGTGATGAATGTCAAACTAGATGAAATAACAACGACGAAGAAAATCAAAATGGAAAGAGGAGTCAGACAGATAATGCTCGAACAACCCCATCACGCATCTGCAAGGGTAAGCCTCCGAATGAATTTGTCCAAGACTAAAATCCTAAGCGAAAACGAAGAACTGATTAAGGTCAATCAGCAAAGAATCGGAAACGTCAAAGAGTATGTATATCTGGGTCATGCCATAAGACTCGGTAAAAATAGAATGGGCAGCTTTTGGTAGACTGAACTATATTTTTAAGAGCAAAGTTCCCAACAACTTAAAAAGAGACGTTTTCGATAAATGCGTTTTACCGGTAATGACGTACGGCTTGGAGACTATGACGGTGACCGCACGGAGTGCCAACAGACTACGGGTTACTCAGAGAGTGATGGAAACAGCCATGATGGGCATCAGCCTTCGCGACCACATTAGGAATAAGGACATCCGTCGACAAACGAAGGTGACTGACATCGTTGAGAAAATATCCAGTTCTAAATAGTCTTGGGCAGGACACTTGGCCATACAATCAGAAGAGAGATGGGCGAAAAGACTTCTATGCTGGAGACCACGCCTAACAAAACGTTCAGTGGGTCGATCTCTTAAAAGGTGGACCGATGACATACGAACCATAGCTGGTGAAAATTGGATAAAGAGAGCCCAAAACCGAAACGATTGGAAAGTATTGAAAGAGGCCTACATCTTGCAGTGGATGGATAACGGCTGAAGAAGAGAAGAAGAAGAGAGATTCAAATATTCTGGAAAACTATGACATATCTGTTTCACCACAAAAGAAACAGAATGTATGGGAGATATCAATGAGACTTTTCAATATCTAGTGAAATCATTTATTTGTGGGTCTATGGGAGAAACATCCATTTGGGGTTGATCGACTTTTTCTACATCCAAAGGTTGATTTTTCTCACTACCGGCATGTTTATTTTCTGAGAAAAAAAAACGAAGTGTATGACAAAGAGTATATATTCCTTTATCAGATTGGGATAAAATCAATGATTTGAAGAATTGAATTAGAATATCGTGGAAATGTGCATAACCAAGCAGTTCAGAACAAGAACTAGGAAGTAAGCAAAAAAGTATTCAATGTTTCTTGAAACATTCATCTTAGAGGCAGAAAAATCGCGAATAATTTTTTTCAGTATGTAACATTACGTGTGGTGTAATGCCATTAAAGAGATGAGCTCTGGTGAAAAATACAACCTGATGGACCAGCGTCCATAAATAAAACTGATGTCAATACCAAATGGAAATTCACTGTAAAATCCAATGGTTTGAAGACATGACTATTACGCAAAAGTATTAAGTCCTGTAGGACTTCTTCTGGACCTTGAATCCTCAAAGACAAGTTTTCTCCCCAGACCATCCTTGCACTCGCATTAGAAAATAATGTTTTCTAAAAAATGAAAATAAACGGTTGTCCAAGAAATTAAGAAAAAAATTTCATCTATATAAGTCTCCTTCCAACACTAATCATTAATCAGGTCGCAGTGCGGAGAGGTCTATGTGAACACCCCAACCATTACAATGTACGCAAAAAAAATTGAATGCGATTGACTTCCAAAATCAATGGACCTTTCTCATTTTACCTGTGCTGCGCGCGCAGCTTGTGGGTGACAGATAATAAAATTGTCATTTGAATGAACGCGGGAACGCGGTCTGACCTTGACGTTTTTTAGGCTAACCTCAATAACCAATCAATATTGCTGAAAATTATTACAAAAACTGTTTATTATACAATGGTTCAAATGTGTTGTGTGAGATCTTGTCAGAGTAAGGCGAAAAAGAAGTCAAACCTTTCTTTTCACAAGTTCCCAAGCAATCAAATTTTAAAAAGACTGGTTACATGCTCTCAACCTGACTGAAGAAGATTTAAGTTGGAACAGAGGTTTGAGGGTTCGTTTCGTAAAATAACGATTTCTATATCAAATACAATAATAATTGTACAATTAAAGGTATGTTAGCACTTGTAAATTCGTACTTCTCGAACTTGTCTAAACTTTTCCCCCACATATTTGTCATATTTACGTTTAAAAATAAACAAATAAACAGAAACATAACCGAAATTACACAATTTGACAAGTGGAACCAAGCAAAGTCATTCCACACAGGTATCGCGCGCCATTATAGGTGTCTCTTTCTTTATTACATAAATTTTAATAAACTAACCTTGTTGTTCATTGCATGAGAAAGGTCCATTGATAATTTTATAAAAATCTTTGTGTTTCATTAACTCGTATATATTTTATCCCTAAAAAGTCGAGCTTGCTTATCAATACATAACATCGACTCAATTATCTATCTATTTCTGACCATCATCTTCCTCCCCACTACCATTCATCCCATTCACCCCCTCGAAATCACGCCCTATCCTTAAAATGCGTAACCAAATCCCATTCATCCTGTGTCGGAGGCCTTTGTAAGATCAGATAGTACCATCAGTAGCGCCTATTGCTTCTTCAAGGTACTATTCCCCCGCCAGTAATTTTTAAAGGCCTACCCATCATTGACGGTACGTTCTCGAAGACGAATTAGTATGCTAAGTGTCAAGTTTTTAGATATCGGAATGTATAGTGACAAGTTAAGAAAATAGTTATCCGAAAAAGGACAGTTGGTTTATGTTTTGGGTGATTACTTTGTGCGTACTCGTGTGGTGTTTGTTTGTGTATACTAGAGGAATAAAAATACGATGTTTTTTAGCAATGTTTTAGGTAATTTGTTTTTTAAACTCACATTGATTGTTTAAATATATCAATTAACAATAATCAACATTCTAGTTTCAAAGTAAATTGTGGCTGCTCATTTTTTTGGCAGAACATCAACAATCTCCCATTGCAAATAAATCGTGTCTATTTTAAATTAAAATATTATAATTAATTAGGTTTTCCATACCAACGAAATTTTTAAATAGACCATCAATCATTTTATTTTTAACAAGAACAAAGAAGGTGCTTGACCCTAAACAAATTTTAAATCCGCACTCAATCAATAAAGATATTATTTTTGGTTCTAGATAATCCCAGCTACTTTTCAATGTCTACAGACGAACCAGACTGTAGCCATGCGCAGCTGAGAAGAAAAAATAGAAACGGCAACTCAGAAAGTTCCTCTGAAGTATCGTTAACTCGACAACTAACCCCACCTAGATATCACAATCGCAGACCAGAAAACAGAAATTTTCTGAGGTAACTTAATTTTAAATGTCCAATATCCGATAATAACTTATAATTTTTTCTCTAAGATCTGTTAGTACAAATTCGGCAGACTCGAACCAAGAACTCTTAATAATGGGAGAACCAAGATTGAGCGATATGGCTCCAGATTTAGCATTTAAGCACCCTAGTCGTTCAAATTCACTTAAAAGATCTCAAGAAAACGGTCAGTATTTTCCATTACCTACCTCCGAAGAAGACATTGTTGAACTAGTTGAAGAGGACGAAGTCTTTTTGGAAGAAGACTGTGCTAGATATACTAATTTTAGTGCAGTCAAAAGGATTATGAATGGAAATAGTAGTCCAAAAGGTAACAAATCAAATTTAAAAAAACTCAAAATCCTGATAATTTATGTTACTAGGCACTAGTCCTAGAAGACACTCAATTGGCACTTTTGGTAACCGGGATAGGACCAACAGTGTTGCTTCATCAGCTCGTAGCTTCAAAGATGATTTTTCCTCAATGATGCAAGAAAGTGTTGCTACAACTTCAGCTATTGATGAGCATTCATTGAGGCACATGTCTTATCCTAGAAAAAGATGTTTGAAGTGCTCTAAAGGTAAGCAATTTGATTTTTATTTCGTTTAAATTGTCTCAAGACGTCGGCAATCATCAAATAAAATCTTCCTTCAATTACTTTATACTTGTGCATGGTTGCAACAATAATAAAAAGGGGAGAGTTGCTGGTTGAACTTTGATTTAGTAATTGAGACAATGAGCGGTAAATAGGACAATGAATTTATTGGAGAAAATTGCCTGTGCGCTTTCTTGAGATCCGCAGGCCTGTGGACCTATTTTCGCTTTGAATATTAATAGGTTACCGTGAGAATGTTGTTAAGTTTTATTGGATGTTGCCTCGTGCGTTTTCAATGAATGTCCAATCTGATTCAATTGTCGGAAAATTATTACCTATTTTTTTTCTTTAGGGTAAGTATAGGTACCTATATAGATTTTAGAGATTTAGAGAAAATAAAAATAGGAGGTTTTATACACCTCAGAAAGGAAATATAAAAACAAATCACGCTGTCAGTATCGTGCGGCAAAACTTCCGTAAAAGGAATAATTATCATTGACCACGTACTCAATAAACTCCCCTACGATGGCACGTGACAGTACTTCTTTATTGAAAAAAAGGTGAATAGACTATCCATAAAAAGTCAATAACTGTTAATGTGCAAATCGTCCAATAGAAGCTTCGAGATGTTATTTCCGAAAGAAATTACAAACTCTAAGCGAGTCGGAGGCAATCAAACTCTGACTTCCGGTAGTGGCGGTACCGTCGTTTTATTAATTTCAATAAGGCCTTTCGAGTCTTTAATTATATAACTGGCACATTGGCGCAGTTAGATGTCTTGGACGTGACCTGCAATTTTGCCAATTCGAACTGATTTTAAGAAATTTATTTCTGAGATGGAACAATCTAGTCTGTTTGATTTTTCAAATGCATCTGCTCTAGAGCAGCAGTTTGAGGGACCTTGTATAAAGATCCTTGACTGTCTTAGGTCTCTAGATTCAGCCATTCCTCTTGAAATTGGTTGTTGGACCAGTTCCTGATCGTGATTTTCACCAGGCAGAAAGCAGCCTCAAGAGATGAAGAGGCATTATTCCTATTATCAGGGTGGTTCTAAAGGCTCCGATTGTAACTATGCAGGCACGGTTGAGGTATAAAGCGAACTTAATCGAAAACCGAAATTGAACTTTTTGGGATTCCCGACTCAAGAACCTATCTATTGGAATTTTCAATTTGCAAAGGAATAGCCAACACTTCAGAAAATACTTTTCTTTAATGAAAAATATCAAAATATGAGGAGAAAGATTATAAAATTTGACTAATTACAAATCAATCTGACAATTCTATTATGTCAAAAAATATTACCTACATAGGTGCCTAACTAATTCATTTTCACGTGGAAACTGATTAAATTCACTAACACTCCTCCTTAAGCAGTTTCCGACGTAAGTTTTCGAAAACTTTCTTGTTCAATGCCTTTGTAAATATATCAGCAACTTGTTCTTTCGTATTAAGATAAACTAAACCTACAGTCTTGCCAACATGCTGATTTATGAACTTGCGACGAATTTCGATGTGCTTCTTGCCTTTCGTGACTTTTCCTTCCTCTGCATTTCCCAGATGAATCGCTGCTTTATTATCAACAAGCAAATCAGTCCGTTCAGTCAATTCTTGCATTCCAAGTTCTGCAATTATTCGACGAATCCCACATACTTCTTGAATTCCACTTGTAGCTGCACGATATTCAGCCTCTGCCGATGATGTTGAAGTTACTTTCTGTTTTTGAGCAATCCAAACAATTGGACCTCCAAATTCAATTAGTATGCCACTAGTAGATATCATATCAGCTTCTGTTCCTCCATAATCTGAATCTGTATATGCTTTCAAGTTTGCATCACTATTAAAAAATATTCCAAAATTTTCCGTTCCTCTCAGATATCGAAAAATTCGTTCGACCATTCTACAATCACTAATATTTGGTTAACTGACTTTTCTACTTAAATAATTCACCGCAAAATATGGTCTCGAAATTGTTGACAAGTATAACAAACAACCTATAGCCTCTCTATACGGTTTGTCTTTCAAGATTTTGTCATTTATTTTCTTTTCTGTCTGCATTCCAGGTTTCATTGGTGTCGAAACTGGATGTGTATCTTCAAATCCAAAACGTGACAATATTTTTCGAGTGTATTTCTGCTGTGTAACTGATATTCCTTTTTGCATTAATTTAATTTACATTCCAAGATAAAATAGTTTTCCATCTTCTGGATGGAGGTCTTCATTTTAAATTCTCTGCTCAATCCAACTAGTGTTTGTTCCATTTTCTTTTCATCACAACCAATCATTATTCCGTCATCCACAAATATTCCAATTATTATTGTCCTTTCTTCATTGTAAAAAATACATGGGTCGTCATCTGTATCTATGAATCCCAATTTCTTTAAGCTTTTAGTAAATTTCTTGTTCCAATCTTTCGATGCTTGTTTCAAACCATATAAACTTCGTTTCAGTAGACAAACTTTACCAGACTTATCATCAAAGCCTTCCGGTTGTAACATGTAAATTTCCTCAGATAATTCTCCATTCAGAAAAGCTGTATTAACATCAAATGTGCAAATAAACATTCTTTCTCTTTCTCACTGCATAGCTCAACAGTAATCTAATACTTGCATGTCGAGCCACAGGTGCAAACGTTTCGTTGTAATCTATTCCATGCTTTTGGTCAAAACCGCGGGCAACCAGACGTGCTTTTGTGCGACCATCAGCTTTTTCTCGTAACACCCATTTGCATGTTAACGGTTTTCGATTTTCCGGTAATTTAACTAAGTCCCATGTCTTCATATCTTGCAATGAATTAAACTCTTCTTGCATCGCTCTCTTCCAACGAGGATCTTTCAGTGCATTTTCAACTGATATATCTTCCACTTCTCCAATCAATATATAGTCTTTATATCTTGAATGAGATTTAATCTCTTGACGATTTCTCAGTCTATATCTTGGTAAATCTACATCTTCATCTGTCGATTCTGCTGGATCACTTTCATAACTTCCAACATTCTCCTCCTGTCCTTGTACATTCTGCTCTGCCTCTAACATTTGCCCTGACTTTAATTCCGATTCATCTTCAGTATTTTGTTCAATTTGTTCGGTTGATTTGCAATTTATTTCTGTAAAACCACTTTCTGGACCAATCTTCTCATCAAATAAAACATTGCATGACACTTCTACTTGGCGTTCATTCGGAAAATATATTTACGATACCCATGCTCTTCAATATCATATCCAACAAAAATTCCTTTTTTACTTTTCCTATCCATTTTCAGACGCTGATGATCCTGTAACATCATGTAACATTCACAACCAAAACTTTTCATTATTTTCAGATTAATACGACGACCAAACCATAATTCTGCTGGAGTTTTACCACCAATACTGCTATTGCCAGTTTGATTAATTGTAAATACTGAGTAATTTATTGCTTCTGCCCATAAGTCTTGTCCAAAATCATGAGTGTAAATTTCAGCTCGTGGGGCTTCAACCATTGTCCGCATTTCTCTCTCAATTCTGCCATTTTGTTGTGGTGTATAATAAGTTGCCGATCGTTCATGAAATATTCCAAGCTGTTCAAAAATTTCTCGGCTTCTTAAATTTTTAATTTCCGTACCATTATCTGACATTAATACTTTCACTCTACGACCAAATTGATTCTCAACCAGGTTCAAGTAGATATTTAGCTTTTTGACTGCCTCAGATTTTTGTTTCAAAAAATAAATGGTTCGAAAATGACTATAATCATCTTTGAAAAGTAAAAAATACTTCGCACCACCGAGAGAACGAACATTCATTTCTCCAAGATCAACGTGTACTCTGTCCAAACATGCTTTTGCTATGACTTCATTCGTTGGATGAGAAACTCTGTGTTGTTTCCCATATACACAACCTTGACAAACATATTCTTTCCAGTCATCAATATAACTTATTTCATTTTTCTTCAATACATCTTTCACATGTCGAATATTTTGATGTGCTAACCGTTCATGCCAAAGTTTTAGGCTAACTGCTGGCAAACCATACTCTCCCATTTCACGGAACATCATGTGAAATAAACCACCTGTCCTCTTAGCTATCAATACTGGTTTTTCTTGTTCCATAATTACTGACTTTTCTGCTGTTGCTGACTGTGTATAACCTTTATTCAAAACTGTTGTAATTGAAAATAAGTTAAGCGAGAGCTCCGGAACAAATAAAACATCTTTCAAAACAATTTTGCACCATTCTTTGCCATTATAAGCATGCAAATAAACATTGCCAAAAACTATACCTTCTAATTTTTTTGAATCTCCAATTTCAACTGAAATTGGTGTTGTCAATGGACGTATATTTGAGAGCCATTTCAAGTTTCCAGTCAAATGATGTGTTGCGCCACTTTCCATGATCCATAATTCATAGTGATTTGATAATCCTTCCAATACTGATGATGATAATGCAACTGAGACAAACGATTTCACTTTGTTTCCTTCATTACTTGACTTTTTAGGACAATCATTCGAAAAATGCCCTTTTTCGTGACAATTGTGACATTCATATTTATTTTTGCAATAATCCAAATACTCCTGACACGGTTTGTTATGACAATCACGTTTAAAATGTCCAGGTGGGGCTTATTTGAAATTGATGCAACCTTGCGTATACGCAAATTTGACGCAAATACGTCAGTTGCGATTGAAAAAGTGCATCTCAAATAAGCCGTGCACCAATTTTCAATCACGAATGACGTCATTTGCGTGTGCGCAAAGTTGCATCAATTTCAAATAAAGCCCCCCAGATCTACCACATTTGTAACATTTTACCTTTGATTGACCCGATGAATTTCTATTCTGGTTGAAACCTTGCTGATTTTTCTTTTCAAAGTTTCTCTTTTCTTGGTTTTTCCAACAAGTGCATTGCTCACTATCTCTGATTCCCGTCCTTGTAATCTTATCTCCTCTTGTTGCAAGCGATTCCTTCAGTTAATAATCGTTTTGTCGCCTTCAGCTACTGATTGCCAG